ACCCGGAAACATCTGTCTGGCCAGTAGTGTGACTTGATATTTATCCCTAGGGTTTTTAAACAGAATGAGATAGTTGGTGTTTAAACTAATAGTGCGACTAGATTTACCCTGAATAAATAAATTTTGTACTAAATATATACAACTGAGATTTCTATGATGTACATATTTGGTAAAAACATTTTGAACTTCTATATTATTCCCGGCATCATTCATTAAATCGTCTATAATGAGTAGATTGTTTTTGGCAGGAGGTAGTAAAACATCATCGCACAGAGACTCTGGTAAGCCCTCTACAAAGCACATTTGCAACACAAGGGGAACATGAGTTTGTCATGACATCTGTATGGTAGGACCGGGTGAAACAGCCCTCTGGGCGGTAGCACTGTGCACTTTATGAGTCCAAAATACTTGTCAATAGACTCAAAATCCTTCAGGATAACCTGAGGATGTCCAACGGGAACTTTCTACAAGTGTTTGTAATGCTTTTGTATTATCTGTTAGTGTGTTCTTTGTGGATGGAAAATAAAATTGGTGTTCACTGCTGAAAGTTGTCTTTATATATTTTATTCATAAAACGTCACAGGATAGTTTATCATTAGATCACACATTGTACACACGTAAAAGCATCCTCACAACACCCTGAGGGTTGGATTTTGTTAACAAAACGACAGACCATCGCATCATTATTGACTAGATTAGGTCCGTACAAAGTTAAAACTCGTGAATAAGACCATCCTTTTTGTATATAACATAGAAAAAACACACAATGTTGGCCACAGGTTGTAGTAAAATTATTTTGAACCTGTTTCCTAGAATAAGACATAGTCGTACAGTTATAATTGAGAAAATTAACTATTTCTTTTGGAAACTGTTCATAATCAGGAGGGTTTCCAAAACTGTCAAAGAAAAAGCCATGCTTGTATTTTGTGATATAAATCGCCAACCAATGCTCTCCGGGGCTGCTGGAAGGGTGCGTATTTACAATAGTCATCACCGGATACTTGCGCAAAGCCTTCATAGGCAGCTGGTCACACGCTAACACGCCCATAAAATCGACCCCCCTAACAACCCGTTTTCGAACAATACTCGTCAACTCTATGGTGTTCATGGTGTTTAAAAGTTATCCACCAAGACTTGGCGTTGGTTTGATATCTCGATAACGGAGTCAAAAACAGAATAACATATGATATTTATGGTACGAGGAAGGGCCGTTCTGAAGCGGACCTCCAGGCGCACATTCCCCGTCTTGATTAGTGACACGTTCCCCGACTGCCCGTCGTCAGGCTCCAGATTAAAACAGAACAGCGAGTAACCGTGACCAAAGTCACTCCGTGTTACAGCCAGCGATCTGTCTTTTAAATGTCGACCTGTTGTTTGAATCATGTGGTAATATTCTCTCACGTACTGGCCGCTCTGGAAGAGTGGCTGTAGCGGTCTCGCTGGATATGCGTGGCCATCAGCGTAAATGCTTAAAAACTCGGTGTCATAGTGTTGGAAATTAAAGGGATTCCGTGTATAACTACCCGTGTATCCTTCGTTGTCAACAAACCCTGAAACAATAAACTTAGGGATCTGTCCCATGAATAGATTCTCCTGGTTGCAGACTCGGGTCCCAGCCGGAATGGAGAATGTTTTCAGCGCTACTCTGTCGATGGCATACTTGGCGTTTGTGTGTTGAAGAGCCCTGCTGTGCGCCAGTCGGACCGTCGGAGCTACGGAGACCTTTTTTACAAATACACTAGCGGCGACTATCTTGACCTTGTATTGAGCCGCTGCAGCCGTCATCAGCGAGAATTCGTCTTTTGACCGTATAAATTTCAAGGAAATATCAACGCCGTTAAGCAACAGCTCCTCTTGAAAAAACAAATCGGCATGTATTGGTACAATTAACTCCACTATACGGCTTTCAACGGTGTGTCCTCCTCGCGCGGCCAGCCCCTCGTTGTGCCCTTTTATAGACGTCTCGTCCATATGCTGCGCGGTGTCTTTACTAAACAGAGCTGTGCTAAACTGCGTCTCCAGGGTGTCTTTCCCGTAATTAAGCAAACATTCGATTATGCCTCGGTATGGGTAGGTGTTTGAAGATTGTGAAATGAGCCTGTCCCCTAGCATGATATCAACCTGGGAGAATAAGGTACATCCGGGGTAATTTATGAAGCCGACATCAGCATCGGCTGCTAAATTGGACCCATCCGCATTAGTTATCTTTACACGCATATACAGAAAGGTATCGTTCAGATCCAGGTAATCTTCACCGCTGGCCGAAATATGAAACTCCAAAGGGCCTCTGTCTGTAATGGATGAGACTGGCGGGATCTCGATGAAGGAATATTTCTCTATGGACGTTTGTGTATAAGGAACAGTAAAGAGATCCAGTTCAGACTTGACACACTCCGCCGACTGATTATGGATGAGCGCCATAGTTTCTACCTCTAAAATATGTCTTTAGCCAAAATCCGGGCGCGTTTTATCTGAGAACCTCTTCGGGCTGTGCCAGATTTCTTTTTGACTCCTGTCTTGTTCCTACCATCCCTTTTACTTTTTTTGGTCCCTGGCCCCGCACCTCCCCTGCTTGTGGGGGGTCTTTTCAAAGCCCTGCGGGTGTGTATTAGCATGCCGTGACCCTGCTGCTGCTCTGGTTGTTGTTGAGCCCCAGAGAACTGTCCTTTGGCTATATTTGATACAACGTCTCCGATGATGTTAGTAGCGGCTGTTTTCAAATGTGGTTTAGCCAGGCTGAATCCCCGTTTTAAAAGAGGCAAGGCCATCCTGAGCAGCCCCCGAAATATACCCCCCAAACCATTGCCATATTGTGTCTGAGATCCTATAAATCCCGGTAGTTCTCCGCCGGCTTGGTTCATATAATATGCCATATATCGGCCGTCATCGTGTGTGTAGTGGCTATTCCTCATCTTCCACTTGTTTTTTTCTTTTTAGAAACGCTGTTTTATAGGTCTGAAATGTAGCTTCGCTATGACCTTTCCGTATAAAAAGGGTATGTATCCGTTCTGATCGTTTTTTATGGATATCTCAATATCATCAATAACGTTTTTGGAGAGAGATGTGTATTGCGGCCTGTCGTAAGTCAGAGTGGGTATGCGCCGTTGTTCGGCAGCCACATTTATACATCTTAGAAGAGGTACATGGCTGTCCCCCACTAATTGATAGTCGACAATATCGCTATATATGTAAAATGTGTAACAACCTGCATGTATATCGGCGGGATAGGGGGTGATGTGGGATCTCTCAGTAGTCGGTAGGGGAAAAGCCTCCCCATCTTTAAACCCCAATATTGTCGCGAGCCGTCCTACAAAGGTTATAGTTGAATCCTCTGTTGACCCCAGAAAGTATACGCGGTTTTTAACACTACTATAATGCATAGATACCCCCTCCAGCTGCGTGTTAATGCTGATTCGAGCATTAAACGCTTTAACAATAGCCTGTATAGACTCATAAACCCCAATGTCCATAGTAAAGGCCGATTTAACCCTATTTTTACCATTGTACACTTTTACAACCGCATCTGTTTTCGGAAAACTGTACCACACTCTCGGATACTGGAATTCTACCAACCCCACCTCATGTGGTTCGCTCAGAACAATGGCCTTGGCTAATTTTGTCCTGTAGTTCCATATCTGATTTTTAGGATGAACCTGAGCCGACGCGTTACTAGGCAGTGTAACATAAAAACCATTCTGGGTCATCGTGCTGTGTCCTATGGTGGCCGGTTTAAGAGTGAACTCTCAAGATGCAGGCATGTGTCTTTTAACAAGCATCCGTTATGTCTTTTTCTGAGACCCAGGAGTAAAACTTCTCGGGCCATCCCAACCATTTCACGAAGACCTGCTTCTTGCCTCTGGAGATTTTTCTATCCATAATTTTTTCTATTTTAAACACCTTGTTTTTACCTATTATTACTTTTTGTAACTCCGGTTCGTAAAACGTACCTTTCAACAATTCCCCTGCACAATCAGTTAGTTTATAAACCGGAGGATCTCTGGCTATACACCTTGATATTGTAAAATGCTCATCGGTGAATGTTTGTTTATAACCCTTCCTAAACCCCCCGCGGAGTTTTGATATTCTCACGGTGTCGCCCTTGTTAAATTTAAAGCATACTGGCTTCTGAGGGTACAACTTGTACAGTTGGATGAAGACCGTCTTCTCATTGTCTTTATTGACTGCTGATGGCTGCATCTTTATGGACCTGTGGTGTGAGTTATTATAGGCCTCGACAAGCTCCTGTACTACATCCACATATCTTCGTGAATTAACGGATGTTAAATATCTCCACATGCGGGTTTTAAAAGTCCTGTTAAAGCGCTCCACCACGCTGGCCTTGGTCTCATTCGATGTTGAAAAATGCGTAATTTTATACTGTGACATTAACCGCTGAAAGTGTTTGTTATAAAACTCTGTACCTTCATCTGTTTGAAGTTTCACAGGTATGCGCCCGTCACTCAGAATGTCTTTAAAGGCTTTTGTGACTGTGAGGCCAGATTTGTTAGAAAGACATCTAACCCACGCATATTTGGAAAATACATCGATACGCGTCAGTAAATACCGCACAGTATCATTTTCCTCAGCATATTCACCCATATCAACTAGATCAGCCTGAAACTGTTTGTCAATGCCGCTGACCAAAACCCTATTCCTCGGGAAATGTACGGCTGCCTTGGCGTGTAATGTGTACACGTCTTGCGCCAGTAGGTACTCGTTAACACTAGATAGTGACGCCGTCACACCGGTACATTCTCCAACCGCATTGCGAAGTTTAGACACACTGCCTAACCCTCCTGGATGGGCTGGGTCTAGATAAATCTTCTGTAGAGTCCCTTCCATGATAATACCAAAGTATAAATGACCGACAGTTAATTCGTTACAACATATTTTATTTCTCTTGTACAACATGTGACAAGCAGATTGATAGTACAGTAGTATTTCGACCCATTGCAAAAGCAAAAATACATTTTCAGTTATAAAAACACTCAAGAACTTCATTCATTTTCGATTTCATTTTTTTGTTTTTAGCATGTTAGATTGTTTTTACACATCAATGTCTGTCGCATCATCATCATCATCATCATCATCATCATCATCATCGGGTACCTCCCATGCTTCATACGGGTTTGATACTTCTCCCCACAACCTGCCAAGCTTTTTCAGTTGGTTCATTTTGAGTTCATCTTCCCAGATCAGTGTATCATACATTTTCTGGATACTTTCAGCCGCATTGCCTCCAGATTTCAGCTCGTCAAGAAGTACTTCCGCACCCCCCTGGATGCGGTCTGCATCGACTTGAAGGTCATTCATATCCATAAACAGGAGGATGGCGGATATGAAGTTGTCATTCCAGAGCCTTTTCATCAGCGGATCAAAGTGTAGTTCGTAGAACCAGTCACATGGATATAAACACGGATGGTTTTTCTGACTGGGATTATTTGTTTGACAGCCGTAGCAGATCTCTATATTATATTTAACCCAGACCTTGTTCAACAGATGTAGCACCCCAATTCTAAGGTATTCTAGGAACCGTGCAGTATCCTTAAACACATCGTGAGGTTCACAGAGCTTCTTTTCTTCTTTTTCTTGTGTGGCCGTCGGTCCGGGAGGCGGAGTCTGAGGTGGGGTGTGAACCATCAGAGCTGGAGGTGAAGGAGAAGTGGGTGGGGTCCATCCCCCCTGAGTCCCTGAGATTTCAGAGTCTAAAAAAATGTATTTATTTATTTTTTGAGTTTTTTTATGATTCTGCATGAATCAACATCAGTGACAGAAATATATATATATATATATACACAACATTAGCATAACCCACCTGTCATTCTTTTAGATGATTGAGGGGTGAATTATTTTCGGTCTACACATGGTAGTAGATATACCAGTTTGCCCACCGCTCGGTGTATTGTCGTAAACAAGACGTTTTCTAACAGCCCCGTAAGCCTTGCTGACGCTGTCTCTCTGGATAGATTTGTCAATCTGACTAAACACTTTTTGCAGAGCGGGCCAGTCACACCACTGAACAAAGAACACGAGGGGGAACCATATATTAAACTCTTCAATGGTAAGAGGGTACGGCTGCTCTCTCCATCCTCGGCGGCCTCTTTGAGCTACCACATACTCTCTGTCTTCACAAACGTTTAAAAAAATGAAATCGTCAGGGCGTCTGTTGTACCGATCTGCCATGACATGGTGTATTTTAGGCCCTGTTGTACTATACCACTGAACAGAGTATAGAGATTCTAGAAAACCTGATTGTTCAAGATCTATGCAGACAATTGATCGAAACTGCTGCCAATCTTTTACAGACATACACCCATGTCGACCCCCCACAGCAGCCTCATCATCAACTGTTTCACCAACACCCCCTCCTAGCTTGTCTTGGGCCTTGATTCTAGAAATCATAGTGACCGTGCCATCATAGTATTTAACATTATACACGTACCCATAAACACCCTCCAGCTCTAGCTCTACAGCAGGCTCTCTAGAAAGACATCCCTCACGCTTTTTCCGGCGCTGGGAAGCATCTACATCTGCATAGCATGGGCTATTTTCTGTAGACCTACCTATGTCAGTCTCTGCGGCCTGCTCCATGCAATATGCAGCCTGCATTTTGCAAAGAATCCGTGTGCACAGCAATAGTAGCGGAACCAGCAACAGCAGCAACAGCAGCAGCAACAGCGGATGAGTCCAAAATGAGTGCGTTGGTGGTGGAGGCGAATAACACATCTATATATATGATGAAACCCCTCCTACAGTCCCGTGTTTCCGGTCAAAACTAACGCCCATCGCATAAAACACCCCCTGAAATGGCAAATTTCCAATCAAAACCACGCCCGTCATCGTCAAAAATGGTTTACGTTTCCATTCGTAAAATGACGCATTTCCGGGCATGACTTAAAAATGGCGGCGGTCACATGCCCACCCCCACCCCTCCTACCCCCCAAAAGTTCAATGACGCATTTCCGGTCAAAATGGCGACGGTCACATGCCCACCCCCACCCCTCCTACCCCTCAAAAGTTCCCTCTTGCACGTGTCTGAGGTCAAAGGTCACATGCCAACCCCCCCACCCCACCCCTCCTACCCCCCAAAAGTAGGTCTTTATTACTACTATGGGGTATTATCTCATCCGACAGCGTCACATGACCAAATGTCCACAAACGTCTGACTCAAGCTACAGACCGTCGTTTATGGAAATGTTATGTAATGAACCCGCTGCAATAAACAACCAGTGCACAGTGTGCCTTTTCTAGAGAAAAACGCAGTAAATGGTTTGTCCTTTGTCCGTCCAGCGGTAAATGATGCCAGCGTTTGGCCGCACAGAGTAACGCAGCGGCCAGACCTTCTAGGTAGCGCTTGTGGTCACCGTCTGTTTCTGTTGTGTTTTCTGTCACTCACCTTGTCTCTCGTTTCAGACGCCTCCCCCTCCTGTGTGATTGCAAGCACCGCCCTCATTGTTTCCACTTCGGTCTCTTTCAAATCCCCAGTGCCATTTACCCCGGTGCGCCTTCCCGGGCTATGATCCGTGTCTTCCCACCCGTGACTCTTTACAGTTCCAAAACCCCCGCTTGAAGTAAGGACCTTGTTTTTGAACCTGACTACTTCGCCTCAACTAGGCTTTTGAGTCCAGGCCCCTGTGGCTCAGCATTGTTCCTGTCATTTTACACCAGATAGTCAGTAAGCTACTGAGGATCACCAACACTACTAATACTAATACCCATAAGACAGCAGCCACACTTACCACAGTCTGATGGGACGAGGGACAAAGACACGGCGGATGTCTCCCTGGCGTAACTGTGACTTTAAAACGGGGTGGACGCACAGCCATCTTTGGTCCAATCCCAATCAGTGTGAGAAGGATTCAATGAGGAGAGACTTCTTTGAATTGATTGTTAATTTGAGGTGTCTGGGTGAGTGGAGGGTTTCGCTGAAATGAAACACTGATGGCAGCAGGGAGTACAGTTCTGACAGCACCGATGCGACACTGGTTGGCTAGTTCCAAACGAGCGCCGGCCCCCGACTGAAAGCGTGAGCACGGGGAGAGAGGCGGAAACCCGCGACATTCACACGACTTTTCAGCGCGTCTTCCTGACTGAATTGGCGTCCGAGCTTCGCACAAACAACGGTTTGCATGCGAGCAGGAGGGATTAGATCACTTTTGTGCCCCGTTCCTCCTCATTCCCTTCACTTCCAGAGAGCTCCCAGGAACAGGCCGACCTGCACGCTCATCCCGCATAAGAGGCTTGCATAAGGGCAGAGATAAGTTCATAACTTAGTTTTGTTGGTTTTAAGTTTACTGTATTGTACATTGCGCATGCTTTCAAGCTGCCGAGACGCTTTGTAGTGATGATTTTGTATTACATTCTGCTGCTGCGGTCAATAGTGGGAGCAGCTGATTGATAGAGTAACAATTTCTGTGTCTTACGGCAGTAAAGATTTACTTTTTTGCTTTGAGTTATTTTCTTTTTCTTTGTTCACTAATCCAAAGACATAGTTTGAATTTTGCCAACGAGACGCGTATCGATTCAACTCCTGTTCTCAGGCAGTTTTCGTGACCCCGCTGCCATTTTGTAGCCTCTCATGTTCATATATAACATCTGCTTTTTCATAGTCTCTCTAGTCGGTTGGTATTTATGCCCTTTATGCTCAAATTCCAACCATTATAGTTCACTCTTAATGTGGAATAGCAGTTTGACTGCTTACATATTAAGTGAACATTATGAAAGCTATGAGATTTTGTTATGAGAGTAAATCTATAGCTAATAACACAGTTATTAGTGCCCAATTCAACGGTGGTGCCCCATTTTTATTAATATTTGTGAATAATCTTACTGACATTATTAATTCTACTGATGTCAATAACTGAACTTTAATACTTGCTACAAACCAAACACGGTCCAAACTGTGCACAACATATTTATCTGTTATATTTAGTTTCTCACAGTAAATAAAAGAAAGTGAAGTCCCATGCTTTGTTACACAAAAAGCTCAGGTATCTCTTTGGGGTTATCCCTAATCTGCTCTGCTGTAAGTGCATACGAAGTGAAGTGGTATTAAAAGTGAGAACGACTACATGCACCGGGAGATGATTTTTAGCGAGGAGGCTCGCGTTCGTGTCACAAAGCTTTATAACACAGACAGACACATATTGGCCGGAAATATTCTACTACTGAAGCCCAGAGGATTGTCTCTCCTGTCACGTCATGCCGCTCTTCCGGGGACAGCCCAAGGCATCCCAGCCCACACAGGACATGCAATCCCTGCAGGCGCGTTTCGGGTCTGCCTTTGGTCTCCTCTGAATGGACCATGAATGGTCTCCTCTGAATGGACCAGAACACAGCGACCAGAAGGGCACCGTGATCAGACGACTGAACTGGCTCACCTTCACTTCTGCTTTTGAACTGCAATCAGATATCAAAGCTCCTCAACCAGTGCCAACGGGTGAACCCAGCTTGCAAAGTCGACATTGGCTGCTTAAATCTCTCTGTTGGTCTTTAGTCAGATCTTATAGCGGATAATACCTTCAGGCCACGGCTCTCAGGGGCCGTGCTGGCTGCAGACTTGACAGCGGTGATCTTCATCCCAACTGAATGAGCTCCAGTGTGCCCGGGATATCCAGGGAAGGACAGTGCACGGCCCATCGTAGTTGATGAAATTTTCATTTGTTTTCTAAGTAAGATGTTAATGCAATGTAAAGGGGTGCTTTATGATTCACAGGGATGTGTATGTGAATGTACTACGGATGTTACAGTCCAAGTCAGTGGCGGTCCAAGGCTTTTTTGACACATGACAGCACACCAGGCACTGACCTCTATTAAAACACTTTAAAGCTTCTTTTGATATTTATCAGTTCCTTTTGGACAACTGTAACAACCGCCATTCACATCATGAATTTGATCTAACATCACTTTTAAAGACTCTTAGATGACATCCAATATCTCCTCTTCCAAAAAAAAAGGTGAACACCATCGAGTGATGATTCACCCAATATCCAAAAGAACAATGTCTGTTAGACTCCATTGTTATTTGATTATTGATTATTAAGATTATTAAGTTCTGGATAAAAACACCAGGAGCAAAGTCGAGGATTTATTATGACCGGTGTGTGAATTACATTCTAGATTAATCCGAATTTACAAGGCCAAATTTAATCCAGAGTGAACATATAAATGCTACATCAAAACTTTGGAAAAGTTAATGTCCTTTCAACATCCAAGTATCCACACACACACAATCCATCTGGTTGCTGGTATGGTACATGAAATAGCAGTTTATCTTCCGCACTCTGCCTTTGGTCCTTTTTGGTAGAAATAGCTTCCATCATTTTCATCCACCAACAAGTTCAATGTTTTCCATCATCTTCAGCTGGTTGCCCTCACAATAAAACCAAAGTGCTCTGACGAGTGATTATCTTGCGAAGCGATGAGGTGACAAGGCGTCTGCAGGTGCATTAAAGCCTCAGTTGAGTGGTCACTTGGGATCAGTGAACTCCCTGCATACTCCCTGAGAAAGGAACTGACTGTATTTTCAGTCTCGCTAAAGGGCGTGGGAGGCCAAACTTCCCACACACCACGAGGGCACGTAGAAAGATCAGCGTATGGATGTGTGTGACCGCTTGATGGGACCAGCCTGTCGGATGTTAGGCTGTTTGTTTGTTGGCGAGAGGTCCGGTGCCAACTGTGCATGCCCCGTTTTCCTACTTCGTTAGACACACAGAAAACACACATGCGTCCGACTGTGTTCGTGGTCATTTCGGTAAACTGCACGGGGAGGATCAGTGTGGTGGAAATTCATCTTTTTTTTAACCTCCCTGTGAGAAACAACAATGACGCAAAACTCTCAAGTATCTTTACGTAAATTATCATAACATATATGAGGAAATAATTCAGCTGAATGGATAGAGCTCATTCCCCATGTTTGTTTTTGTCTATCAACAATCAAGCCTCCAGCTGCTGTGGCTTCCACCGAAGTGGAGATCCCAGCTTTGTTATAGTCTCCAGCATAGAGGGCCGAGAGGGGTCGAACAGCACCACACTGCAGCAGTCCAAATAAAAATACATTTGTAATAATAACATTTGATATTGGGTGAGTTTGGATGGCATAGTCTGCATGGGTTCAGGTTGAAGCAATGCATGGTACATCTATCTAAGTACAATAACACATTCACCCCACAAGTAGCGTATTTGATTCACTTGTTGAAGAGGCACCGGTGCAGAGAACTTTGCAGCCACATCGTTAGTCAAGTGGAATATACCAATGGGAATGGAAATGTTAAAATATATATATATACTGTATACATACTGTTTTTTTCATTTCATTGAGGCCACACTACACAGTAAATTTGCCAGTGTCAAAAAGGCAGTGTCAAAGTATTTTAATTCTTCTGGAGTTCTTCCAACAATGGACAGAGTAAAATTGAACCAGAAAACTTCCAGTGTTGGTGAAAATAATTGGAGTTAACAGAGGTTTTACTCTGTCAGTGTTATTGACTCTCTCAGGCCCTGATTCAACACTGATTAGAGCAAGATACCTTCCAGAGTATCACAAAAAATACTCTGGAAAACCCCGCCCATCAACTTTCCTGGTCAAACTGAGAATGTGGATTCTGGCATCGCCATCTTCCTCGCATCGAAATACTGTGGTAAGTCTTTCTACTATAAACTAGTGCCGTTGTTTTTCTTCATTCGAGTAGAATCTGTATAAGAATAAAGGGACGTATTCATTCACCACACTAGTTAATGTTGGGTACGTGTCTTCAAATACCAAATTTCAAATGGCTAATGTGATATCGGGTCGGTGGTTAGCTTAGTAGCAGCCACATGTCTGAACTCGCAACACCAAACTGAACAAAAACGACACGAGGTAATGTTAATGTCAGTTAGGACGAGCTGTTGTGGTGTGTTATGTGTCATGCTTGCACATTTATTTCAGTAAAATGTTGACAAAAATTAGTTGAAGCCATCATAGCCGTCATATTTATTATTTCTATTTGAGCCGGAGCAAATCGCTTTAGCGTCACAATTTGGTGGAGCATAGCGGGACATGTCACGGCCATGCGGACATTCTCATAGGACCCGCTAGTTCACCGGCAGACTGCGGAATGAGTCGACCCAGTTAACGTGAACCGAGCCGCGGCTCCGAGAGGCACGGTTCACGTTAAATTCTGCTGTAGCCATAGACATATAAAGAGTAGACGCCGCATTGGCTGCTGAGGCGCAAACAAATATTTTTTATTATATTATATACCAGAATATTATTACTGTTACGCCTACTATGAATATTAAAATACGCCGAATCATGTGTCCGGTGTTATGCCTACAAAATCCCGCGAAAATCCGCTTTTGTATTCAGCGAGTGATGCGCTGACACTTCATTGCGCCAGCTGGCACTGAGTGGAGCGGGTGACCGGTCCAAGTTGGCGGCCCCATGACTCGCCAGCACCACTAGGCAGCAGCGGTCGATGTCTATTCTTTATGTCTATGGCTGTAGCTGCTGTTAAGCTTAATTTATGCTTCCACGTTACGGCAGCGGCGTAACCCCGTCATTAAGCAAGTTCTCCGTTGCTCTGCAGTTCCCCCCCATGCCGCTAGGGTGTGTGGCTGTGTGTTTCTGCGGTTGCCGAATCCTTGGTGAGCCGAAGAACAAATGCTCATATTGAAGCGCAGGCTACGAAGAAGACGTGAATTTACAACACTGGTTCACCCACTGAGTGACCTGGATGAGCAAGTGCACTTTCGATACTTTCGAATGTCAGCAACTGCCGCAAATTATGTTCTGAGCGGACCAATCACAGCACTTCCACGTCAACTCGACTCGCAGTTAGATTTTTTGGAGGTGCACGTCAGGCTACGGCGGAGGGGTCTACGTAGTTACTTAATATATATATTTTCTTTTTTCTTTCAGATTGTTCTTTAATGTACTGTGGTGCTCTGGTGGTAAGTAATACGTTGATGTACTTTTAGTTGTGTTTGTGATCTTTAAAGCTGAAATAGGGTATTTTCAGGTTGTCAGCTTGTATGGTGTTGTAGATCATAATGTTGATTTCAGTTTGCTGTCTTTGCAGATACCATCATGTTGATCAAAACATTCCTGTCATCCAGCACCAACCAAGATCTTTGCCACTGTGATAAGATGTGAGCTTTACATGTTTTAGGTTTACTTTTGATGCCAATTTTTCATGTTTACTTGGAATAAATAGGTATTACAGTATGGATACAATTGTCTGTGTGTTTTTCCCCCTGCATAGATATGCAACACTAGTAGGAGTTGGTTAAAAATCAACACTCTTTGGAGTGATTTCATGATCAACATAGTGTAAAGTAGGTTTAACACTGGAAAAGTTATTTCTTTTGTAACTCTTTAGTGTTACATGTAAATAACACTATGGGTGTTACTTCTTACATAGTGTAAAACTTGATTGACACTTCTTAGAGTTAATATTATTACACTACACTGCACCTAGTGTAAAATTTTAACTCTTACCAGAGTAAAATTGACTCTGTAAATTTAACTCTGTGTTCAGTGTACATTTTACACTCTGTAGATAGGGACCATATGTTCACTGAGGTAGTGTTTGACTCTTTAAGTGTTGTATTGACCCTGGCGATTTACTGTGTAATACTGTTATTAACAATACAACTGATTAAATGCTAAGAGAATATAGAAACAAATCACCTCCATCACTGGCTAGTTGGTTGTCAATAACTGCATCTTTTCTGTTGACTTTGAAATATTCATCAAAAATTCATCCCTGGCTGAATATGTAAGAATTGATACTATTTGCTTATTGAATGCACACAAAATCCAGGTTAGTCCAACTTGACAGAGGTGACAGGGAGCTCGTCCGGGATCTTGGCACCCCGCTGCTCGGACCACCCTGTGGTTGGTGATTGGGGTGTGGTGTTGGGGTGTGAGTAAGGTTTAGGTTTTTTTTGTCTTGCCTGGTAGTTGTTCTGTCCTATCGGTTGTAGTATTGGTAGTTTGTAGTGGTCGTTGTGCACTGAATAGTGCAGGGTTGTGGTTTGAGCATGGCAACTTCTTCGGATATGGCAGGCTTTATTTCGGAGCCCTCGTTGGGTTCATTGGTTAACCTGCGTAAGGTGGATTTGTTAGCGCTAGCGGACCACTACAATCTTACAGTTTAAAAGCAGGCTCGTAAAGAGAAGTTGGTAATGGTGATCAAAAGCCATTTATTGAGTCTGTCTAGGGCAGGAGTTATGGCTGTGGAGGATGTGGAAACAGAGGATGAGGAGGATGAGGGCCCTGTAGAGAATCTCTCGCCCGCAAGGCCAAAGGGCAGTGTTGGAGATTGGGAAGCCCCAGTGCCTCAAACTCTGCCAAAGTATGCACTGTCGTCTCCTGAGTTCTCAGAGTCTGTAGAGGTTGCTCGGCTAAAGTTGAAAACGGCCCGGCTGGAAGAAGACCAAAAAGACAGGGAAGACAAAAGGAGATATGAGATGGAAATGAGAAAAATAGAGGCAGACAAGGACGCTCGTATTCACATTCGACGAATGGAGCTTGATGCTGAGGGATCTTCTCACCCAGTGGGTAAGACCGGCCATTTTGATGTGAGAAGGAATATTGTGGTGGTTCCCCCATTTCGTGAGTCTGAGGTATGATAATCAAAAGTTCTTTTCATGGGCTTAGTTGGGGGTTTGCTGTCTTGTCTTGATTTAAGAGTTAGGTAAGGGGGTAAGCAGGATCTGCCAAGCAGGCAGACGCGAGTCTGACAGGATGGGGAGTCAGTTTATGTCCTGGCTGAGGAATGTAAGGTCTGCGGGTCAACTAGAAGATTTACCAGCCAAAGGGGGGTTAGAGACACACCAACACTATTCAACATACACACTCTGTTTACGATGTTTACGTTAAGTCAGGAGTCTGGACATTGGATGTGACCGGATCTTAGATGCGGGAGGTGGAAGGTCCTCCTCTACGCCAGTTTAGGGCCAATAGAAATCTTTCCTTCTCTGTCTTTCAAGGGTTATAAAACATGATGTTCTTGCTGATGTTAGTTAGTTGTTCTTCCGGCCTGTGTGCTGCCTGAACTGCTCCTGCCTTTGCAAACGCAGCGCTGATACTTGACCTGTGATCTGACAAATAAATTTTCCAGAACGAGAGAAGTCATTTGGCTGAATTCTTGATAACCCCGACCAGGCTCCAAATCTTGAACACGTATTCTTACAGGTAGACTCTTATTTTTCTGCCTTGGAGCGGGTAGCTGCTGCTCTGCAGTGGCCAAAAGATGTCTGGCCTCTACTCTTACAATGTAAGCTAACTGGGAAGGCCCAGGAGGTCATGGCCTCTCTCTCTATAGAGGACAGTTTACATTATGATGTGGTCAAAGCTACCGTGCTGCGTGCCTATGAGCTAGTGCCAGAAGCTTATAGACAACGCTTTAGAAATTACAAGAAAAACAGTAGTAAAACATTTGTTGAGTTTGCTAGGGACAAAGAGTTGTTGTTTGACCGCTGGTGTGCAGCCAATAAAACATCTACTTATGAGGCTTTGAGAAATCAGATTTTGCTGGAGGATTTTAAGAACCACTTACCTGAAAGAATTGTGAAGCATCTTAGTGAAAACAAAGTGGCGACGTTGAGTCAGGCAGCGGTCCTGGCCGATGAATATGCCTTAACGCATAAAACTGTGTTTACAGCGTCCAGTCAGAGCAGGACATGTTTCACCAGCAGCTGGTGCATCTGTTAGGGTTTCGGAAAGCTCTCGAGGGAGGCCTCACTCACTTGTTCTCGTCCCGGCCGGAAACGAAGAATCAAAAGAGTCAGCTTGCTTAAATTCAAAAATCAAAAAGTATTTAATAACTAACAACGTTATAAGGAACACAATTACAAAGTGAAATACTAAGCGAACAGTAAAATATTTCGCGAAATAGAGAATCCTCTGAGCAAGTCTAAAGCGACTTATCAAAGCAGCTGCAGGAAAATTCTAACAGTCCTTTCCCCGCTTTGGTCCTTTGAAAACTCTTGAGGTGTGTCTTCCTTGGTGCATTTGAATGTCATTGGCTTCTTCTTCAAAGGGTCACCTCCTGGACTGTCCCCTTCACGTCGAGGTGTGAAGCTGCAGCTGTAACCTGAAACCTCACTGTACTATCTGTCCCTCACATTCCAATGCACTCAATGTAGATACAGTTGGCTTTATGCCTCAATGAGTGAATTTAACAAAGCATTCATCGTTTAAGTCTTCATCTTATAACTAGTACACTTTAATTACAACAACCCATCATTAATGATCCCCGTTCATCACACTTCATCATAAGATCTTAGACAGTTCATGACTGTTCAGAATGTGAACCTCAAACCCCGATGATATCACCAAAGGTTCTCCAAACCCTTCAGGGTCATAAACAACAATGAAGATTGTGAGTCCCTTGATCCCAAAAAGTACCAGGAGATAATAAATCAACTTAGCATCAGACCCATCTGTTCCAAACCCCCTCCAGTGTTAATCTCCACTTTTATTGCGCTTCAGCCCAAAAGCAAAGCAGACGGTGGGAGACATGTCTGTTACTTGCAGATACAAACTCAGCTCATGCTTAGTTTGATCCAATCCATTCATTCATTACTGATAGATCACCAACCTCTCATGGTTAGCGTATCCAAATGTAAGGGTGTACTACTTTTTGAACATTACAGGATGACCGTCTGTAACAAGTTTCCATATTTCGTGTACTGGTGCTATCAATGTTCCTTTGATCAGACATTTGCTTCCATCATCAAGATACTGTATCAAGTGTATCGTGCACTATACACTCAATAGCAGCACTCAACAATTTACAGCCCATCTCTGAGTTTAGGAGAAGACTCGAAAAACTACAAACATTAATACAAATAATTGACATTATATACAACAATTCTCCTGATTTCTTATCACCTTCATTCCTCATTTAAATCTTACACAATCTTGTGTCTTAATTTTCAATGACTGATTTCCCCCTTTTTTAATCAATCTCCCCTACGGATTTAAGTCTAGTTTCAGCTGACACTCTCAGCAGTCTATAATCTCTAGTCTCCCTTTTTCTACCTGGAATGTGAGTCGTAA